CGCTGTGTTGCACGCGGCTGCCGTGGTGTACATAGGCGGTGTGGTGTACACATGTGCTGTGGTGAACGCAGGCACTGTGGTGTACACGCGCGTTGAGGTGCAGATCGCCACCTACATGCTGGTGCTACCCGTCCTCCGTCATTCCTGGGCATTCCCAGACGCCGCCGGCGCGAAACATGATGTCATCGACCCCCTCCACACCCCCTCAGATCATTGCCGTGATCGGCCCGGGACAAGCAACAGGCTCCAGCCGCGTCCGTGCGCACGACAACGATGAGCGACGAGCCACGAGCGATGACGACGACGACGACGAAGACGACGACGACAACTGCAGACCAGACTCCTATGCGGAGTCTTACGCGCACACCTACGCGGATCCCAGCGCGCACGGCGGCAGTGCCCAGAGCGCACTGGGGAGGGGAGCGTAAAACAGGGCTAGGATCGGGATAAATCGCTCCAGAGCGTTCCGGAGCGCTCTCAGAGCGTTCCGGAACGCTCTGGAGCGGCCGCGGCGCCCAATACATCCTCCAAACCCGCCGATTCTCAGAGATTTCGAGTTATCCCGATCCGATTTTGTCCCGATCTTCGCGTCGTTTTAGAGCGTTACGTCATGGGGGGGGGGGGGAAGCGGGGGCCATGACGCCCGTCATGCTCCAAACCATGAAGAAATGGTCTCCACGTTGCGACTGCCCGCCAGGGGCACGGCCCCACCGGCGCCGCCGGGCGCGCCCATCGAGACGCCGGCCACCCCTGCTGCGCGCGGGCAGGGCCCCCACGGCTTCCAGAGCACCCGTCACGGGGGCCAGAGGTTGGCGGCGCGCACAAGGGGGTGGGGGGAGGGGGGAGGGCTTCTAAGAAGCAGGGGTGCTTCTAAGAAGCCCTCCCCCCTCCCCCCACCCCCCTTTGCGCGTGGCTCAAGAGGGCTGAGGGGGCCCGAAACATTGAAAGGAAAGCTGGGGGCACCTTGGGCCAGGGGCACCGTTAGCAACCCCTGAAGCAAGACCACCCCAGCTGAGATGAAGCCAGGCCGAGGGTAACATCGGGGGAGGATAACTGGAGTACCTCTGAGATCTGGCGGCTCTGGAGGATGTCTCAGGCGACGTGGCCATCTCGGAGCGTTCCAGAACGCTCTGGAACGGATTGCCCTCGTCCTAGCCCCGTCCGAACCTACCCAGACCACCCCAGCCCCAGCTAAGACGAGGCCAGCACGAGGATCAAATCGTGTAGGGAGGAGGAAACGCCCCACCACCACCACCACCATCTGGAAAATGAAGAAGGCAGAGGGAGGGTGGTCAAGGGTGGTGTATAGCGCTTAAGGCGCTCTCGCGGAACATCGCGCACAACCGCACACCGCACACCAGCTCATCCTGAATCCCCCCGAGATGCTGGCGGTGGTGGCGGTGCGCTCCCTGCTCCCAATCGGGCGAAGATGACACGAGCATCTCTGCGATCCGGCGGCTCTGGAGTCTGGAGGCTCTGGAGGACGTCTCGGGCTTTGTGGGCCCCGGAAACGGCAGGGCCGTTTTTTCACCGTTTCCAAAAAATTGCCTCTTGAAAATGGAAACGGCAAAAAAACGGCGACCAAAAACGGCAACAGAAACGGCTCCAGGAGTGGCACCGGAGCCGGAACCAGTCAATCAAACTATTGGCGACGGCGCAAATAAGAAAACGGCGTCGGAACTGGCAACAAAAACGGCAAAACGGAACAGGTGAAAAAACTGCCCTGTCGTTTCCAGGGCCCACTAAGGGTAGTGCTTATGCTGTGCAGAGGTGGAGGAGGGGGAGGAGGAGGAGGAAAACGAGGAGGAAGAGGAGGAAGATGAGGAGGAGGAAGAGAGGGGGAGGAGGAGGAGGGAGGGGGAAGGAGGAGGAGGGGGAGGGGGAGGAGGAGGAGGAGGGGGAGGAGGAGAGGGGGAGGAGGAGGAGGAGGAGGAGGGGGAGGAGGAGGGGGAGGGGAGGAGGAGGAGGAGGAGGAGGAGGAGGGGGAGGAGGGGGGGGAGGGGGGAGGGGGAGGAGGAGGAGGAGGGGGAGGGGGAGGCGGAGGGGGAGGGGAAGGAGGTCTCGGGCGCCGCGGCCTCCTCGGAGCGCCCCGGCACTCCCTGGAACGGCGCTGCACTCGCCCTGGCGCCGCCCGGCCAGCCCCGCCCGCTGCCCCAGGCTGCGGCTAGGTCGGGCCTGTCCCCCTACAGGGGGAGTTCCGACGAAAAAAAAAAAAAAAAAATATATAACAAAAATGTCCAAACGTAGTCTGGACAGGCCCGACATGCCCGAAATTGGCACGGAAAGAATGGGTACGATGCCCAACAACAAATGCTGTCCCACACCAACAGCGGCCGCTGTTGGGCCGGCGGCCTTCTGTCCCGAATGGACACAGGCCGCGGCGGCGTGGACAGCGGATCTTGTTCAAAATGAACACGAACTGCTGTTGGGCATAGTACCCATTCTTTCCGTGCCCATTTCGGGCGTCCAGAGACATAAGGCTGCGGGCGGGGGGGGGCCCACGACCGGGCCCGGCACGGGAGAGCGAGAGAGAGAGGCCCGCCGAGGGCGCGCGAGGCCCCCCGCCTGCCCCGCGGGAGGACACTCGAGGGCACCCCGCCCTCAGTGTCAAACCGGGCCTGCCCCCCTACAGCGGGATTCTCGACGAAACATAGAAAAGAATACCCCAAAGACAGGCAAAACATCGTCCAAACATAATTACTCTGGGGACTCTTTTTTGAATTGTTTGTTGCCTTTTTTGGTGTATTTCCATTTTTTGTCGAAAATCCCCCTATCGGGGGGCACGCCCGACATAACCTTAGTGGGCCCTGGAAACGGCAGCGGCGTTTATCTACCGGTTCCGTTTTGCCGTTTTTGTTGCCCGTTCCGACGCCGTTTTTGTTACCGGCTGCGTCGCCGTGCTTTTATGAGCTTCCCGTTCCGGTTCCACTCCTGGAGCCGTTTTTGTTGCCGTTTCCGGTCGCCGTTTTCTTGCCGTTTCCAGTTTCAAGGGACACTTTGCCGGAAACGTTGACAAAACGGCCCTGCCGTTTCCGGGGCCCACTGAGACCCGCCCCCTGGATGCACAAGAGCAGCCCAAGAGCACGCAGAGCTCAGGGCACCCATGCCCGGGCCGACCGCGCTCTTCCACCTCGGTCCGACCGCACGGGTTCCGCCTGTGCTTTTTGTTCGGTGTGGCGGCATGCCCCCCCCCCCCCCCGCACCAGGATTCGAGGGCAGCTCGGGGCCTCCAGGCTGGGTCCGGCTGATTTGATGGGTGGTGAAAGACGGCGTCGGGGGCCTCAACCCCACACCTGGGTCACCTCACTTCGTCCTTCGCGCCCCGCGACGCGCGCGGCCTACAGTCAACCCGCAGAGGAAGGACGCGCGATAAGGATGCAAGGGCCTTGTAAGGCCACTTCGACTCTCCACTCTGCGAGCGGGGCGCGGCCAGCGCAAGCGGCCAAGGATGGGTCGAAGGGGAAGGACGCCGAGGTAATCTAGGAGACTCGTTCAACCTCCCAATGCGGGTTGACTGTACCTTCGCGCCCTCGCGGCGCCGTCCTGGAGAGGGGCACCTCAACTCGACCCGCGGTGCGCGACACGCGCTTCGCGTTCCATCGTTAGATGCTCATTCTGGGGACCTTCCTGGAGCCCCTCGCTCCACTCGTGCGTCGAACCTGAGTCGAACCTGAGTCGAACATGAGTCGAATCTGAGTCGAATCTGAGTCGAACCTGAGTCGAACCTGAGTCGAACTTGAGTCGAACCTGAGTCGAACAGATCCATTAGGTGGGCCCCAGGAAGGTCCCCAAAACGAGCATCGAACCATCGGGCGACAGAGCTCACAGGCGCATGATCTCGACGGCCAGAGGGCACCCGGGACCGCAGCGCGGCTCCACGAGAAGCCCTGGCGGCTCCAAGGCCCCGACCTCGTGGGACTTCCGGCTGGCCGCATGGATTCGGGGCCCAGCTCGGAGGTGTACGCTTCGGAGCGCCCATCCTGGCGACGGGTGCGCCCGACTTGCCCTCCTGGCGGTGTATCCCCGAGCTTTCCTTGTGATCTGAGCGACTAGATTTTTTTGAGGGGGGGGCTCGGGTCGGGGATCTCCTGACCTGGGTCAATTCAAGACCCGGGTCAGCAAGAAACCCAAAAACTGCGATGCAAGAAAAACCAAAATTGCAACGCAGGTCTTCGCAAACCCGGGTCAGCCAATATGCGCGGCCGCCTTGCGGCCACGAGCGGCTCGCTAACCCGGGTCAGCCAGAGGGGGTCTTCGCAGGATCCTGCAGGATCCGGTGCCCTGGCTGACCCCCGTTTGCATTGACCCCCGTCTCTTGAGCCCCGATCGGGGACTGGAGGCGAGGCACCGTCTGCGGAGGCTGGCCGTGGCATCCGTGCAGGCCTGGAGGAGCGCGGCACGGGCAGCGGGAACGCTGAAGTTGAAGGGGCCTTCGGACACACCAAAAAATACACACCGATAACAGGATTCCCCATGTTTTCACAGATTTTCAATGTTTTCGTCTCCCCCGCCACTTCCCATGTTTTCTAATATTTTCTGGGGTGTCGACGATTGATTGTGTCCCCGTTTTTTCCCTCCTGAAAAGTCGGGAAGACATCAGACTCGGGCTCGGGGGACTTAGGTTGGCCTGACAAGGGCCATCAGGAAAATTACGAAACCCAATCTGAAATTTGACGCGATTTCCCGCTGCAGGCGTCCCACGAAAACTGCACCGTCAAAATCCAGGACGCACTCGTCAAAGAGCGTCGGCAAACCCGAGTTCCGGAGCACTCGAGCCTTACGGCGCCCCGATGAAATCACACTTCAATCCCAAGAGGCCAAATAACAATCAAGGCCCCGAGGCCAGATCCCAAGAGGGCCTCGAAGCCAAATCACAATCAGGGGCCCGACGCTGTAAGTGCTCCTTTCCCCGTGGGGACCCGCCGCGATTCCCGCGTTCGGGGCCGAGTGCAGCATGACATCGGAGCGACCAGGGCAAGATTGGAGAAGTGATCGGGTGGCCTCGCGGGCCTCCGTAAAAGCCTTCCGCTCCTCATCCATGTCGACCTCGAAGGCTTCCAGCTGGTTCTGCTTGACCACCCTGTCCTGTTGGCAGGCACAGGCAGCGGCGCACTCTGGCAGAGGGGAGGAGAACGCAGCGGCAACGAGAGCCCTACGCGGAGAACACAGCCCCCTTGGGTAGCCCGAGGTCCCCAGCAGGCTCTGCAGGCCTCTGGAGCTCTGTGGGGGTCGGCAATGGCTCCCGGAGGCCCAAAGAAGCATCGTCAAGGCCCGAAAACAGGGATCGTCCCTCGACCCTCTAGAATCGAGGAGACGAGCGCAGCGGGCTCGCCGTGTTGCTTGTCGTCGCCTCAGGCCCAGGATCGGATGTGCTGCGCCGGGATGCACGGCAAGGCTATGCAGGCATCGCCGAGCACGAGACCCAGCCTGAAGTTTGGGGCGAGCTCCTGCTGAAAACAGCCCGTGGATCTTGCACCGAGGACGCGCTCGTCAAAGAAAGCACTCGAGTGTTCCGATTCCCCGGCACTGCATCGCTGGGCGCCGAGATCGGATCTCGGGAGCGGCCAAGAGGGGGGTGTCCAAGAGGCGGGGGTGCAAATCATGACCGGCGGCACGTGCGCGGCCCAGCGGGGGGGCCTGGGACGCAATGAGATAAGAAGAGGCGCCACGAAATCTGAGGAAAAATCATGGCCCGCGCCATGAAATCCACCCCCCCCTGGTCATCACCCCCCTCTTTGCCGCTCCCGAGGAGCGGCCCTGCCCTGCCGAGGCCAGGATCGGCTCGGACCGATCGAATCGACGCGTGCCCCTGAGCCTCGACCCCCGGTCCTCCTCGGGGCACGCGGAGCCTGCCCTGGAGCCTCGATCCTCGAGCCTCCTCGAATCGAAGCCTGCCCTGCATCATTGAAGGAGCCGTGGGACACACAAATAGATAGACAGAAAAAATAGGATTCCCAAAAAGATCTATTTTTTTCTGGGTTTTTGTCTTCGCGTCTTCGCCCCCACTTCACATATTTCCCATATTTTCTGGGGGATCGACGATTCATTATGTATGTGGTGTTTTCCCTGCTGACTGTATTATGGATCCGTGGATCTGGCGCGTGGGCGCCGGATCCGCGGCTCGGGGCAGCCCCCCCGATGCACCAAGCCAATGCCGCCGGACTTGTTTCTTCTGGGACGCGAGTGGGAAGGAGGACTCCAAGCCTAAGATGTCTCCTAAGTCGGACGCGGACGCGCTGGTCAGCCGGTGCCGCCGACCTTGGCCACCCAGCTCGCCGATTCTGCCAGTGAGGGGCAACGATAGGGTCATGTCGGGCGTGTCCCCCTACAGGGAGGCTTCCGACGAAAAAAAATACCCCCAAAATGCACCAAAAGGGCAACAAAAGAATAGCCCCCAGACTACTTGTGGATCACTGTTTTAAGACTATGTTTGGGGTATCCAGGATATCCATTATTTTTCGTCGAAGATCCCCCTGTAGGGGGACAGGCACAGGGGGGATCGGCACAGGGGGGAGGCATCGACCTGGCACCGGCGGTGCGTCGCCGATGGGCGCCCGACAGCGAGCCCGCCCCTTCCTGGGCGGAGTGGGGCTCAGGCCGGCCCCCGTCGGCGTCATCAGTGGGCGTTTGGGGGGTCGATGCGTGCCGCCTTCCGCTTTGGACGCCCGAAATGGGCACGGAAACAATGGGTACAGCTGGCCATCGCTCGGACGTCCATTCCCTGTTTTTTTCGGTTTCGTGCGTGTTTGTTTCGCTAAATGATCAAGGATGCTTCTCGATGGCCCTCGCCGAATGAAAAAATGCACACGCCCGAGCGATGCCAGGGTGTGGGGCTCACCGGCCCCCGTCGGCGATCCCTGGGCGGTTTGGGGGGTCGATGCGCGCCGCCCTCTGTTTCGGACGCCCGACATAGGCACGGAAACAATAGGTACAATGCCAAACACCACCACCAACGACTATTTTTTCACTATTTTGGAATGTATCCCTCCTGTCGAGGGACAGGCCCGACTTACCAATACTGCTACGTATTACGCGCCGCGCGAGGCCTCCAGGATGTGTTTGGACGCCCGAAATGGGCACGGAAACAATGGGTACAATGCCTAACACCAATTGTTGTCCCAAACCGACAGCGGGCGCGGCGCCCGCGGCTCCGCGGGTCCCGGGCGTGAGCAGACGGAGCGGCCGCCCTGGCATTCCTGGGGGCTGGCTACGGAGCGTTCTCGGAGCCCCAAACAAGCTCTGAGACCAAGGACGCTGCTCTTGGGGCATGGGCCCGAGGTATAGTAGGGCACGGCCGTCTCAGGCACAAGGGTTCGAAGAACCCTTCGTGCAAACAGCACAAGAATTCTCAGAACATCCCCCCGGGCACACCCCGGGGTGCGCTCTGACCAACGTGTCGAGG